TAGAGTGCTTGTCTTGCATGCATGAGGCCCTGCGTTCGATTCCTCAGCACCACATAAGCAGAAAAAGCCGGAAGTGGCGCTGTGGCTCAAGTGGTAGAGCGCTAGCCTTGAGCTGAAGAGCTGAGGGACAGTGCCCAGGCCTAGAGTTCAGGCCCCATGACTGACCAAAAATAAAAAATAAAAATAGTTTCCTCAATAAGGCTTGGAGAACTGTCATAAAGATAAAGGTTGGCTAGTTTCCCCTACTGTTCCCTTTTTGTGATGCTGGAGTTTGAACTCAGGGCCTCCCACTTGCTCGACTTGCTTGTTCAGCTGGTGCTCCACCACCTGAGCCACACCTCCAGTCTGGTTAATTGGGGGGGGGGGAGGTGAAGTCTTACAGACTTTTCTACCCCAGATGACTACAAACTGCAATCTCAGCCTACTGAGTAGTTAGGATTACAGGTGTGAACCACAGCCACTGAGGAGTTGTTGTTGTTGTTTTAATGCAAAAAAATAGCTCATGATTTGTTGAAGTTGATCGGTTTTCCATTTTTAAAAACTTTTATTATGGAAATACTTTTGTTTTGTTTTCTAAGAGGCTTGCTCCAAAGCATACTCTGAATTCCCAGTTCTCCTACCTCTACCTCCCAAGTGCTGGTATGACAAGCATTCATCACATTTAGCCTTAAGGAAACATTTTCTTCTGGGAACAGCTGGATTATGTTCGCAATCCAGCTTCAACTGTCCAATCCTGCTTAACTACACTCACTACACTTTCACCTTCACTTCCAAGAAAATCTCAAGCATCATATTCTCACCCATAAAGGTGTCAATAGACAATTCTAGAAGAAAAGCATCTTTTATCTCAATATAATCCTATACTACCTTTTATAGGCCCAGCCCCCTACCATCCCCAATATCACGACTGTGTTTTTAAATGTTACCAATTCTGACGACCTCACTCCCTTCTAGATTTTTTTTTTTTTTGCCTCCTCAAGCCAGGATCCAAACAAAATCCAATATCACACTTGATTGATTTGATTTTTATTACCCATACCCAGACACCCTCTACCCAGTTCCCCTTGAAAGTTTCCTCCTTCTAGGTCAAATGTTTGTGCAGATGAAGGCATTCCATTTTCCCTCTTTTCTTTTCTCTGATTCTCTCTGTCTCTTCCCTAATCACCTTTTTTGTTAAATTGTTATTGCAGAGTTGATATACAGAGGGGTTACAGTTACATGAATCAGGTAATAAGTAATGAGTACAATTCTTTTTGAACCAAGTCTCCCCTTCCCTCATTCGCTCCCAGTTTTTCCCTCCTGCCTCCCCTAGCATATCCAGTTCATTTTCCACGTGGTGTCCAGTAAGCATCTTTTTAAGAAACTTTTTGTTAGTATATCTTCAATGATACCAAAATAATGGCTCTTTTGGTTCAAGCTCCTATGGACAGTCAAAGGGGAAGGCTGCAGAACTGTAATTACATCCCCAACCATTACAAAACAAAACAGAAAATACTCCAAAACAGCCATTGTTCTACTATTCAGCATGACTGAGTAAATTGGTTTTAGACTATAGCACCCTCATCTCTAACAAGATCAAGATAGCATTCATCAGTAAATAGAACTCACCTAATTGGCTATTTATTGCTTTCCCAAAGGTGTCTCCAAACCAGGAATTGGTAGTTCAGGGGAACTGGTAATTCAAATCTATAATCCTAGTTGCTCAAAAGGTAGAGATCAAGAGGATTATAATTTGAAGCCAACCCAGGCCAAAAATCTGTAAGACTCTTCTATTAACTAGCCTAAAGCCAAAAGAGGAGTTGTGGCTCAAATGGTAGAGTGCCAGTCTTGAGCTAAAAAAAAACTTCCATAACTCTTTACCCATTTATAAAGAAATCAAGACAGGCAGCAAAGACACAGAGTGTGCGCACAATTTAGAAGTACCTAGGAATTCAAACATTACCAGGTCCTAAAAGTCTCTTCTCCACCCAAACTTCAACTTCACACTTCAAAGATTAATTATACATTATGATACCAATTATATCCAAATGCATTATGAAACAGAATCTTTGCTAAGTAATGTCACCATTTTTTATTCTTCTACCATTTTTAATAATTACACCCTGGGTTTTTATTGTATTAAGAAGCAACTAAGAAAAAACACCCTTAAATCCATTTCTTTTTTTTTTTAAACATAAAGAAATTCACATCATCCCTAATTATGTACTATATAATATAATGGGGTGGAAATGGCTTAGAATTAGCTATGTCATATTTAGGAGAAAAATGCAACCCACTTTTTTTAATCCTTAGCATAAAACATTAAAAGGGTGTTGGTGAGTGTTGGTGGCTCATACTTATAATTCTAGTTACTAAGGAGACTGAGATCTGAGGATTAAGGCTCAAAGCCAGCCTGGGTAGGAAAGTCCATGAGATTCTTACCTCCAATAAACTACCAAAAAGCCAGAAATGGAGTTATTTCTCAAGTGGTAAGGGACAGTGCATAGGCCCTGATTTCAAGCCCTAGTACTGGCAAAAAGGAATGAAACACATGATCAATAAGCACCTGATTGGTAAATTAACCTCCTTCATACTGATGGACCCCAGAGTGTTTTAGGTAATTCTTTTTTATTCCCCTGTCTCTTAGGTTTCCTCCCTCCCCCCCCCCCTGCATATACTTTATCCTACGCTATCATCAATGTGCTTATGATTACAGGCTAGCAATGGTAATCCTAGCTACTCAAGAAGCTGAGGCAGGAGGTTCTAGAGACAAGGCCAGCCCAGGCAACATTAGTCATAGAATACAATGCACTCTGCTTCCATCAGAAAGAATGACACTGCCCCATTCATAAGGAAACGAGAAAGACTTGGGAAAAAAATCATACTAAGTGAAGTAAATCAGACCCAAAGAAACATAGGTTCCATGGTTTGCTTCATTTGTAATAACTAGAATATGTCTAGGATAGTTCTAGCAGAGGATCACAATAGCTCAATAGTTATGTACATATGACCATATAAAATGAAGCTATGGAAATGAGAAGTCTTGTGTTTTGGGGGTTTTTTTTAGTGTACTGTTTGCAGTTACTTCCTTTTTCATTCATTTTTTTATCCTGTTATCATTGTTTTTATTTCGCTACCCTTAGTCTTGTATATAAATTTATCTGATTTGGGGACAGGAAGGGGAATCACAGAAATGGTGACACAAAGGTCAAAGGGTGAACCAATGCAGCAGCAATACTCACACGACACTATGTTGAAAATTAACTTTACAACTTGGGGGGGGGGGGAGAGTCATGAGGGAAGAAAAGTAGGAGAAAATGAGGAAGGAGGTAATACTGTCCAACAAGAAATGTACTCATTTTCTTACTTACGTAACTATAACCCCTCTGTACATCACCTTTACAATAAAATAAAGATATATAGATATATGTTTAGATTTCTAACCTCTTCACTCTACATCTTTCACCTTTCTCTTTTTTCTTTTATGGTGTAGAAATAATTCTTAAGCACAATTAATATATACTTTAAGGAGCTTTTTTTTTTATTACTGAGGGTTTTGTTGTTGTTTTTTTTGGGGGGGGTCAGTCGTGGAGCTTGAACTCTGGGCCTAAGCATTGTCTCTCAGCTCTTCAGCTCAAGGCTAGCATTCTACCACTTAAGCTACAGCACCACTTCCGGTTTTCTGGTGGTTTATTGGAGATAAGAGTTTCACGGACTTTCCTGCCAGGACTGGCTTTGAACCATGATCCTCAGATCTCAGCCTCCTGTGTAGTTAGGATTACAGATGTGAGTTTCTACCAAATCTTCACTCCAATGTCAAACATATTAAGAATCCAAAGGTGAACCTGAATCTGGTCAAGTCTTTATGAGAAACCTGGAGAACAAGGAAACACATTAAAGGTCCACCCAAGGAGGTAAGATGTACACTGTGGGAATCAGAGTATAGCTCCAACTTCCTGACCAAATGCACTGGGAGAAGGGGAAGAAGAGGATGGAACCAGAACAGGAAACGTGACTCAAAACAAAGCAGTCAAGTGTGGATGTTGTTTTCTTTCAGAGTAGTTTTTTTAAATGGGTTTTATTCTGAGAATTTCACACATGCACATAGTGTACATAATCATACTGGATGCTGTATAGATCCTTTGATTGTCCTGAGGGGAGGGGATTTTTGGTGCCAGTCCTGGGGCTGGCTCTTTCTGCTCAAGACTGGTGGTCTACCACTTGAGCCACACCTCCACTTAGAGCTTTTTGGTGTTTAAGTCTCATGGATTTTCTTGCCTGGGCTAGCTTTGAACTGTAATCCTCAGATCTCAGCCTCCTAAGTAGCTGGAATTACAGATATGAGCCACTGGTGCCTGGTTTTGTCCTGGGAAATTTTTAAGCAATTGTGAAAACACAGATATGAGACAATCAGGGAAATCTGAACACAAACATCCAGTGACAGTAACAAGAAAATTCTTATTTATTTCATGTGGTAATAATCTTGTGCTGATGTATAATAAGAACCCTAATCTTTTTAGATTCCTAGTGAAATATTGACAGATGTCTGGTGTGTGTTTGTGTGTGTACAGTAATGGGGTTTGAACTCAGGGCTTCATACTTACTTGGCTTATTTGCTCATCTAGTACTCTACCATGTGAGTCATACTTCCAGCCCAGCTTTTTGCTGGTTAATTGCAAATGGGTTCTCAAAGACTTTTCTTTCTGGGCTGCCTTAAACTGTGATCCTCTGGATCTAAACACCTGAGTAACTAGGATCACAGGTGTGAGTCACTGGTGCAAAGCTCACCTTCCTCTTTTTCCAGGTATACATACAAATGGGTACAGATGTTTAAATCCTGTTGAAGTCACTAATTTCCAGATGTAGCCATGAATGGTGTGACATGGAAGGACCACAGTGAGAAATAATAAACACCAGGCACAGATTTGCAAATATGTGATATACAAGTAAATCTGAAAATTAATTTATCCATTTATCCACCATATCCCCAGAAAGACAGATTCAGGAGACTGCCTACTTACCATGTAGAGATCAAGCTTCAGACAATGTCAACATCAGAATACAGCCATCCACCTAGAAATGTAAAAACAAAAGGACTTTTAGGGTGACAATCAGCTTTGACAAAGAGAACATCATTTACAAAAGGGAATCAGAGTAGGCATTTATAAAACTATCTGGGGGAGAGAACTGTGAGCAGAGAAAAGAAATCATCCTAGAACAGGACAAGAGCAGAGTAATCCTGGCAGAGAGTAATCATGAACAGAGAGGATACCCAGCACCCTCCCAAGCAGCGTCACCCTCCATCAACTCTCCCCAAGTCAGCAACACAGGTCCCCTACCAGGTTCAGGATGCTATGCAAAAATAAATCAATAAAATGAATAAGAAGAGGCCAAGCATGGTCGCATTGTCTATGATCCCAGCTGCTCAGGAGGCTGAAACCAGAGGATAGCTCACACCTAGAAGCCCAGGGCTAAGCTAAGTAACATAGTGAGATCTGATCTTTCTCTCTCCTCTCTCTCTCCCCCCTCTCTCTCTCTCTCTCTCTGGCAAGAAGACAAATATAGATACTATTTAAATTTTAAGATGGCTAACTTTCTTCTTCATTTGTGTGTGTGTGTGTGTGAGAGAGAGAGAGAGATAAATAGAGAGAAAGAGAGAGAAGAGAGAGAGAGAGCATAAGCACCCATGTGCTGGTCCTGGGGCTTCAAACTCAGGGCCTGGGTGCTGTCCCTGAGCTTCGTTGTGCTCAAGGTTAGCACTCTTAACACTTGAGCCACAGTACTGCTTCTGGGACTTTCCTGCCTACAGCTGGCTTCAAACTGCAGTCCTCAGATCTCGGCTTCCTGATTAGCTAGGATTACAGTTGTAAGCCTCTAGCACCTGGCTAAAGCAGGGCTTTTTAACCATAACAACTAGGCCCCTGTAGTGAATAGTGGGTCCCCCAAATCTATCTCAGTATTGGGTAAGGTTAGAAAAGAGGGCCTGGAAGATTCTGAAGAACCCTGGCATTTCCTAGTGGATAGTCTCAAGGAAAAAATTATTCAGACATTCTAGAAAAGGTAAGACAAAGTTGATTCAGGACCAAAATAATAGTTTAACATCAGTACTACTACAATAAGAAGAAAGATCATGTTCACAACAAAAACAGCAAAGACAGCTAGGAAGCAATAGCCAATGGGCAGAGCAAAAAGTTAGAGGCCAGAAAGAATAATAAGAGAAATCAAGAAAATTAGGGGAAATTCTTCATAAACCAATTGACAGGCTTCTTATACCCCTTAATTCTTTTTAGTTTCTCCATTTTTCCTCCTCTTATAATTGCGCTGCATTGTAGAAATCAAGAAGTTCCCATCTCTATACATCAAGTTACCATATTATAAGAAAAGTACTTTGAACATAACATCATGTGCAATTTCTACACAATCCCCCTGAGATACTGACGCAGACTAAACCATTGAGAGGCACAATGACGCCTTTCAATGTGGCCTTGTAATGAGGAGTACACAAATAAAATGTAAAAGAACTAAAAAGCTGGATTGAAAGCATCTGACAAAAGCCAGGAAGCAAAATAAATAAATAAATAAAAATTTGAAAAGTAAAAGAAACAAAAGCCAGGAAGCTTTCCATCACTAAAAGAAAAAAAAAGAAAAACTTCCTTAGGACAAATTAATGCGCAATTTCTGCTGGGCCCAGATCGCAGGCCAAACACTGCAGTATGATCAAATAGTCCTGAATATGCCATTACTTACTGGACAGAAGTGATGTAAGAATCTAGAAGGAAGCCTGGTATGATGGCAAATGCCTATAATCGCAGGGTGTCTGAGGCAGGAAGATCACAAATTCAAAGCCAACCTGGGCTACATTTTATGACACTGCTGCAAACAACAATGACAAGTGAGAATCTAAGAGAGCCTGGCTATATTCTCCAGCTGCCCTGCCCTGACTTTCATCTGTTCGCACTGTGATCTGTTCCCTGAGCAGCTGCCCTCCCTGTACCTCTGTTCACTAGGGAGGTCGTCTAGAAGTGACAATCATAGAAGGTAAAGAAGAGGCAGGAGCTCTGGTGCCCTGAATCCTCTTCCTGCTGGGTCAACAGCTGTCTGTCCAGCACAGGTGAGGGCATCCTTCAGGCCCTCCCTCTCAGTTCCAGGGGATCAAGGGGCTTCTGCTGCCACAGCATCCTCCCTTCCCTTCCTTCTCTTCTTAACCCTATGTCACAACTTCATCTAACTTTCTAATCACCTCTTTGACTTTCCTACTTTGATAAACAACAATGTACAAGACAGAGAACCTGAAAATCAAAACAGAACCCAGTGTATGTATAAAACAGAAAAACAGACAGACAGAGTATGTGTGTAAACTGGGTCTTGAACCCAGGACCTAGGCTCTGCCCCTTATCATTTTCGCTCAAGGTTGGTGCTCTACCACTTGAGCCGCAGCTCCACTTCCAGCTTTTTGGTGGTTAATTGGACATAAGAGTCTCACAGACTGGCTTCAAACCATATCACAGATCTCAGCCTTCTGAGTAGTTAGGATTAGAGACATGAGCCACCAGAGCCCAGCCAGAAAGCACAATTTCATTTCTTCTTTCCTTCCCTTCCTTCTTTCTTTGGCTTGAACTCAGGGCCTAGGCATTGTCCCTTAGTTTTTTCACTCAAGGCTGATGATCTACTATTGAACCACAGCTCCACTACCTGCTTTTTGATGATTAACTGGAGATAAGAGACTCAGACTTTCCTGCCTAGGCTGGTTTTGAGCCTCAATCCTCAGATCTCAGTCTCCTGATTAGCTAGGTTTATAAGCATGAGCCATTTTCACCTAGAGAACCCAATTTTTAAGCTACATTTCAGGGGGTGGCGGGTGAGGAGGATATAAGAAGGCTAGTAATGGAAGGGTGACTAGGAAAGCCCTGAACTTCTGGACAGAATTTTGTGTACATGTGTATATTTCTGAGAAGAGAAAGCCAGAAAGAAAAGGGTCAAAAATTCACTGGATTCTCAAAATTGCCCATTCCCTCCCCCCCCCAAAAAAAAACCCATGAAGTAGCATGGATACAAAAGCAGCACAGAAACAACCACATGGCCCCAGGGCAGAAAGCTGTGCAGCAGATGGAGCGTACCTGTGTCCACCCCCAACAAGAACGCCACCGCATCCTTCACCAAGGGGGCTGGGAGTAGAGGAGGATCTGCCACCCACCATCCACCCCAGGGAGGCAGTGGGATGGTGTGTGCCTGAGAATCACTCACGGCTCCCTCCCCACAGTCAAGTGACATTTGAAAAACTCATCAGCTCAGCAGGTGCTTAGATGCACAGGCAGTAACAAAAGCAGTTCCAGGCCTGAGGAAAAAATCTCAACCTGTTCTGAAAGCCTCAAGGCTGCTGTGACCTGGGAGAGGGTCAAGGCTGAAAACCAGCAGGGGGAAAAAAAACATATTGGAGACAGCATAATCACACTGCTAAACACACAGGAAAGGTCAAGGTAAGTACAAAGGAGCCCCAATCCTGTGGGTAGGTGAAGGTTTCCAGGACAAATCAGTCCTGATAGACCCAGACCTGCACCACCCTCCATGGGCTACAGTTTCCCCCTGGGCCAGTGGAGAAGATCATTCAGTACAAGCCTCACAGGGCCATTGTGAATCCACGGGAAAATGGGCCTTGACCATCCCTAAGATCAAGGAAACACCTTCCCAAGTCTGTTTTATTATTCCATATCATAGTTTTTCTCTGCATCCTTCATGGCTGGGATGGTCAGATGCAAACCAACAAAAAGTAACCAGAATGATTGATGAAATCAACAACAGGACTGATGCCACAGGAAGGAACAAATCACCCAACGTTGGCTTCATGGGTTGAAGGGGCCAAAGCCTCTAACCCTCTGTCACGCTTCCTACTTTTAACAGCTGTTACCAGGGTCCTTAGTTCAAAGGCAGAAGGCCAGGTAGTTAAAAGAGCTTGCGTGACACTTGATCTTGCAAAAGGCTAAGTGGCCTGGGGGAGGTTATAGCATTACCCTGTAACTCAGTTGCCCCATCTATCCATCAGATATGATCAGGATCACAGTACCTAACTTTTGAGATTAAATAAATTCACACCAAGTTCTTAGAACAATGCCTAGAGTGCAAAAATAACTCAGTAAATGTAGGCTGTCATATTACCTGGCACATCTCAGCTGGCTTCTAAGAGTCACTTAACAAAAAAGGCCAATGGCTCATGCCTATAACTCAACTACCCAGGAGGCTTAAGATCTGAGAATCACAGTTCAAAGCCAGCATGGGAAGTAAAGTCCATGAGACACTTATATCCAATAAATCATCAAAAAAAGCCAGAAGTCTAGCTACAGCCTCGAGCAAAAAAAAAAAAAAAAAAAGCTAAGGGACAGTACCCAGGAGTTCAAACTCCAGTCATGGGGTGCATGCGCACACGTGCACACACACACACACACACACACACACACACACACAAAGAGGCCACATTACATTTGAAACAGATCTTCCCTCGCATCTGTTAAAGGGGAGTAGCAACAACACTGAGCTAATGGAATAGGTGGCGGGTGGATTAATAGATGCAAAATGCTTCTGAAGCAGGTTGGCATGGAGTACTCATCAGAAAAAAAATCTCTGCAGGTATCTGCATTATCACAATAGGAACTGATCTCCCACACTGCAAGCCTTCCCAACCCATGCAAATGTGGAAATTCTTCCCAGTTCCTCCCTCAACCCAGGAACTGCTTGACCCTGACACCAAAGATGCTGTGGGCAGGGGCTGCTGAGAAAATGGCCAGGCCATTGGTAAACAGAGAATGCTGCAAATTTTCAGGCATTTGCTGGAACTTTGCCATTGTATAGGCATCCTAAAAGTAGTGATTTACAGAACACTGTTAGTAACTTCCAATGTTATATCTTATTAAGATACTGGGTTCATTTAAAGGTGGATTTGTTTGTTTGTTTGTTTGTTGCTCCTGGAATAACTGACAGGTCACTGGGTTGGGTTTTAGGATGCCCATGGAGGCCAGCTGACCTCTTATCAGTCTAAGAAGGCTCCATGCAAACTTCAGCAGGCACAAATGAACAAACCA